CTGCCCAGCCACACAGCTGAAGTGTACAGGGGCTGGGATGCTGCCAGATCTCACTGCAGCTCCTGGCCAGGTGGGAGAACTGCCTGGGACCACAGGGGAGCCCATGGCACAGCTCCAAGGGGTCAGTCTGTGCTTGAGGCCAACAGACGTTTCTCTCACTCCCTCCATCCATTCCTCCTGCCTCCTGATGGCCCTACCCCCCAGCTGAGGCTGAGCAGACAGCCTGAGCCTCCTGCCTGCCCATGCCCCCTGCCTGCCCCATGCCTGTGTGGCCTCATGCCTGGCTGGGCCCCACGCCGCCAGCCCTGCTTGTGTTTGCACAGCTGATTGTTCCCCTGCTCAGCATACTGCCTTGCACTTGTCCCTGTTGAATTTCATCCTATTTTTTTCCAGTCCATTTCTCCAATTTGTCAAGATAATTTTGAATTCTAATCCTGTCCTCCAAGATACTTGTAGTCCCTCCCAGCTTCGTGTCATCTGCAAATTTAATAAGCACTTTCTCTATTCCATCATCCAGGTCCTTAATGAAAACATTGAGCAAACCAGAACCAGGGCAAGCCCTTCACCATCCGAGCAGCCTGACACAAGCTGTGCTCACCATGCTCTGCCCAAATGGGATGGGAAAGGGTACCAGAGCTTTGCCATGTTGGCTGTGCTCACTGCAGCCCCAGCTCCATGGTGTGCCGCCAGTATCAGGGGTGCTGGCGCTGGGATGAGGCTGGAGGGGACAGGGTTCATCTCCAGGATGGCTCCAGCTTGAGCTGCCACTGACTGGCACAGTGCAAAGGCCTGGGAGCAGCTCCATGTGCTCCCATGTGACCCCAGTGGTCAGTGTGGGCACAGGGGCAGCAGAGCAGCCCCTGATGGGGCCATCCTCCCCCCTTACAGCTGCCCACCTCCTCCTCCATACCCTCCTGTGGGTGAGGCTCTGCCCAGCCACATTATCTCCCCATTCTGAGGCTGCTCCTTTTGGGCTGGGACTGCTCCTGGGGCTGTATGGAAAGGATCTGGAACCAGCCCCAACCTGGAGCCATCTCGTGTGCCACCTCTGGCTACAGCCATTTCTTTTCTTTAATTGATTGTAGAAAGCAATTTACAAAATACAAACTTCTGCTTGTGCCAAGCCCTGCGTGTCCAGGCAAAGCCTAATTTCACAGAAAAATTTCAAGTGCAGTGAATGGCTTTTCCCAGCACCAGTCCACGTCCAAGCCAAGAGCTTTGCAGTCTGCATAAGCTGTGCTGAGCAGCCCAGAAATGGCTTTGCACTGCCCTGTGGAGCGTGCAGCTCCCTGGGCTGGCTGTCACAATAACCAGGGCAGCTCTGCCAGCACTCACTTTTGGGCTGGTGCTGCCAGGGTTGGCATGGCCCTGTGGGACCACCATGGCTGCAGCCCAGTCTGCAAAGAGCCACAAGCCCCAGGTCGCTGTGCAGCCAGCTGGATGATCCAGGGATCCTGCGTGGTCCCTGTGGCCATCAGGAAGGTGTCCCAGCAGGGCTGGCCAGAGCTCCAGTGATGGAGGCTCAGCTGAGAGATGGTGCTCCCAGGCTCTGGCTCTTTTCATGTCAAAGTTGTAATTTCATGGTCAGGGTCTAGGAGGTTTGTACACACAGATGCATTAATTCTGCATTTAGTGATACAGGAATAATTGGTGTCACATCAATTAGATCGGTTCTTGGATACTGCAGTGATAAGTGCTGTGCAAAGGCCTCTGGGCTGCAGGATGTGAGGAGTTCCACCAGTGAACAAGCCTGGTGGGGCTGGCAGCAGCAGGCAGAGGTGCTGAGAGAGGGACACTGGGTGCTGAGAGAGTGGTGGAGCATCCAGCACTTCTGGCCTTTGCAGAACAGCAAGGCCTGGGGCTCTCACAGTGGTCAGTGCCTGGGGCTGCTGCACAGCCTGGTGTGCAGGTTTGGGGAGGGGCTGGCAACTTGGCAAACCTCTGAGCCTAATGTCCCAGTCCCACCAAGGTGATCCTCTGTGCCAAGGACCTTGTGTCAAGGCACTTGCCAGGCACCTGGTTCAGCACCATCAGCTGTATCCCCCATGCCCGTGGCATGGCTTTGCACACATGGTGGGTTTGCCAGCTTGCTGCTGCCCACCCCACCAGCTAATGGGACAAGGCTCAGGTGGGTCTGGGGCAGCGTGGAGACCCCCTGTGCTCACACTCCCACAGTACAGATCGGTGCTGTCAGAACCATCCCCGCTGCAAACTGTAGGCGGAGTAATTTGCAGATGACAAATATCCCTGACAGTAAATATTTTTCCCACCCTCATCCCTCTACAAGCAGATAAGGTGGCAGCACTGTAGCAATACGGTTGCTGGAGGGAGACAAAGTCTTTGGCAGACTTAAAAGTCTATTGTGTCCCTGCAATTATTTATAGATAAAGAGAAGAAAGCCAATAAGCAGAGAATGGAGCTTCACAACTGCATTTGTTATGATGATGATGATGTTATCTCTCCCTCACACCCACACACGCACATCTCCAGTGCATGGAAACTCGCTGCTGGCAACAATCAAATCCCCAGCCAGGACAAGGCAGGACAGACTGGAGGCTTTACCCTCTTGTCACTGACTTGTGCCCAGCCTGTCTTCCCCACCAGCTGAACCCACCACACAATTCCTGTGGCTCCCCTGGAATAGCACCTGCAGGGCCCCTCTGAGGGGTCCCTCTGTTTCTGGCTGCAGGATGTGGAGACCAGGTGGTCTTTGTCCCCCTAAAGCAGCCCCTTGTGGGTGCCTTGTGGTGAGGGGACCCGGGGTTGCCTGCAGGGAGTATGGGACTGGCTGGGTCCTCACCACCTCATGCAGCAGGACCCCAGAATGTGGGTGCTCCCCACTGATGGCAGGGTGCAGGGGAACTCTCAGCTGTCCCAGCTCTGCGTGGCCAGGTCCTCCTCTCCCATCCCACACCACTACTGAGAAGAGAAATGTGGGTGTTTGGAGGGATCTGGGATTAAAGGACGTGGCAGGCAAGAGTGATGGAAGTCACTGCCAATAAGTGCATTTCTGCAACCAGTGGAGCAGAGACACCCTGAGTGAGAAACACTGACTGCAGTGTGGGAAGAGGTTGGGAAGCACCGTGTTCTCCCTTTTCAGTGAGCACTGCAGGAGCCAGTGGAGGACACCAGGGGACTGGCAGGGCTGGACCCACAGAAGGCGAGAACAAGTTGAGGGGTCAAGACCTGGAGTGCCACTGAGCCAGGCACCGGGGTCCCTGGGTGACATGTGTGACACCAGGGCCCTTGGCCAGCCCATGTCTCCCCATGTCCCAGGGTGCTGCATGGCATGGTTTGGCTCCTGCTGGGGCAGAAGTCCTGCACCTCCCCAGAGCATGCACAGCCACTGTTCCTCGCCAGGGCTGGAGGTGCAGGAGGGCTGTGGGCTCCTGCCAAGTGCTCAGCCCTGTCTCAGTGGGACCCCCACCCTGAGAAAGCCCCAGGACGAGCTCTCCAGCTGGTGAGATATTGCCCAAGACAGCGACTGGGAACCCTTAACTGGACTGGAGAGTGGGATGATTTTTCATTGCTTCCTCATAATAAGAGGACAGGAGTAAGTGACTAGTACAGTCCGTTCACTCGGTAAAGATTTATACAATCACTTCATCCAGTAATTGGTATTCTGGGGAGAGAGAGCAAGCTGCAGCTCCAGCATCCGCCTCTATTTGTTTTATCTCTGTCTTTCTCTTTTTCTCTCCCCTTTTCAGAATGAGTAATTCTGTCCCTCACAATCCCATTTAAACAGAGCATTTGCAGAGTGAATAATTAGTTACATTCAATTAGGCCTCACGCGCTCTCCCTTCTCACTTTGGGGGACAGACGTGCTAATGAGACGGTACATGTGTGACACAGGGCACTGAGCACGCTGCACGCCAGCAGGGAGGGGTCAGCCTCGGGGGATGTGGGGAGGTGGCCCCAGAGTTCAGCCTGCCACCTAGGGACACAGTCCTTTGGAAACCATCTGGGGCCACAGGCTTCATGTTTGGGGCGAAAGACTTTGCATCTGTGGCCCACGTAACACCTTCTCCTCCAGCAGGAGCGGGATCACATCTGTCCCCAGAACTGGGTGTTCTCTGGGCTGGTGCCAAGGGAATGCTGCCCAGCCTGAGACCATCCCACCAGCACTGCTGGGATTGCCAAGCCCTGAGAGGAGGGAAAGCTGCTGCCATGTTTTTATCTCCCTTATTAAACCTAACATTAGGTTTTAAGAGGAGCCTTAAATAATGTGCCACTGCCTGTACTGGCAAAGTTGCTCCATGCTCCAGCTGCTCCTGCTCTGGGATTTATGGCCTTTCTCATGCCGTGCTGCCTGTGTTCAGATAGTGCTGGGTCACAGGCTGAGGCTGCTCCCAGCACCTAAAGCCTCAGTGCTGCTGCAGCCCCACACCAGCGCTCTGGAGCCCGGGGTGACTCCACTGCTGCACCGCAGCACCCACAGCGCTGCCCTGCAGCGCGATGGACCCCACTGGTGCATTTTACTGCCAGAGCAGTGGGGCTCGGGGCACGGAGCTGCCTGCTGCAGGCAGCTCTGCCCACATCCCTGCTCCTCTGGCGCGGGACACGGGCTGGGCACGGCTCTGCTGGGACAGCTGCGAGGCCCAGGGAGGGCAGCCACAGGGGAAGCGCATGCAGGGGAGTGGGGCCAGCCAGGAGTGCTGGGGAGGGTCTGGGGGCACGGTGGGGGTCAGCACAGCGGGTGGCAGCTCTTCCCTCCCTCCTCTGCCTTGGGAGCACCCGCCCATCCCCAAAGCATCCTTCCTCCTTCCCGGCACACCAGAGCTGGGAGCGCCGGTCGAGGCCGCCGGTGGGCGGCAGGGGCTCGGGGCTGCTCACGCACAGGGGCAGAAAATCGCGTTTAATCACACGGTGGAGGGTGACGGGCGGGGGTGCGGGGGAGCCGCGGGAGGGGGCCCCGCGCTGGGCAAGCCCGAGGCCAGAGCCCCCCGGGGCCAGAGAGGCGGGACGGGCCGGGCGGGCGGTGCCGGTGCCGCCCCGCGCAGCCCGCGCCGGTCCCGCAGCACCATCTCCCGGCCGCCGCACGCCGCTGCCCGCGCTCCGGCCCGGGCAGAGCCGTGTGCCCGCCGCTCCTGCCTTCCTTCCTCCCTGTCCGGATGCCAGCAGGCCCTGCTCCAGCACGGGCAGCGCTTCCACAGCACCCCAGACACGGGACTGAGCTCTGCCGCGGGGATCTCACACCAGCAGCCCCCCCTTCCAAGCCCTGGCTTCTCCAGCACCCAGGGAGACGGGGATCTGTGCTGGGGTCTTCCTGTCAGCAGTGACACTCTGCTGTGGCCAGGGGCTCTGCAAGGGCTCAGCAGGCCAGCAGCCACCCAGGTCATTGCATCACCTGGGCAGGAAGCAGGATGGGGCTCTGCTCCGTGTCCCCACGTGGGCGGCCAAGCCTTGCTCCACCAGGGCAGCCCTGTGCAGGTGACCAGACCAGGAGTTGTAGTGGTATTCCTGTGGGGCGGTCGTGCCATGGTCCATTGCAGCATCACATCATTTGCAGTCAGGCCAGATGCCAGATTTCCTCCCCAGCTGGAGAGGGGACAGAGGAGATGGTGCTGTCCAGTCTGTGCTCCTGTCGGGGGCAGTGCCCTGCGCCTTCACAGCATCTCCTGCTCCGAGATGCGGCTCTCCTTGCCATCCTCCTGGGCCACAGGCTGGCCCCTGAGTAGGGTCTCCTGCACAGGCAAGACATTCTCATCCTGCTCCGTGGGCTGCTGGGTATCTGGGTTCTCTCCGGGCTCCCCAGCCTCTATCTGCACAGGGGCAGGGGTCAGGGGCAGGCAGCTACATTCCCCCACTCTGCACCCACGTCTTTCCACAGGCTCCTGCTACACTCCCTTGCAGGCCAGAGTATGGGTCCCCCCCAAACGCTCAGCACTTGCCAGCAGCATCCTCTGGTTGCCCCAGCCCTTGCCCTGCCCCAGCCAGGCAGCCTAGCTCAGCCCCCAGCCCTCCTGCATTGCAAAGCCACAGCCCCTGCTGCTGCTGGCACATCCCCAGCCGTGCCCAGGCGGGATCCCAACCACTGCTGGAGGGGGCTCTAGGTAAACTCACCTCCTTTGGCACTCGTCGCCTGGAATCTGGATGGAAAGAGGGACAGAGAAGGCAATGTTCAGGGGGAAGTGCTCCTGCCCTGCAAGGAGCTTCCCGAGGTCAGAGCCAGGGCTGGTGCTGCTGCACCACAGGTCCTGCAGCTCACGTTATGCCTGCTGCCACTGCCAGGCTGGGCAGGCTGGGGGGCACAGCAGGAGCCAGAATGGACTCGTGGGGCACCAGTGCTGTCACCCAAGAGCTGGCCCAGCTCAGGCTGCAGCAGTGCCAACACACCTGCTCCCAAAGACAGAGCAGGACTCAGCAAACCCTGTACTGCTGATGTCCCCAGAGGAGCTTCCTCACTCTCAGCAGAGCTGCTGCTGTCCTCCCTGGCCCAACTCTCAGCCCTTTATGGCCCCTCCAGCCAAGGTTCTCCCTCCCTCGGCCAAGGCAGCAGCTCACGTGCTTTAGCCCCTCACCTGTGTGCACCAGGCAGTAGATGCAGACACCCACGAGGCATGTGACAACTGCAGCTGTGATGGGGATCAGCACTGACAGCGAGGAGCGCCTGCTGGACTCTGCAGGAGGACACAGGTCAGTGCGGCACCCATGGGACACGGGGTCATGCCCCAGCCCCACAGGGACCCCTCATGGAGACAGAGGCAGGGAGGCATCACACTGGCCATGCATTCAGGCCTTCCCCTCCCAAAAACACCACGCATGAGGCCAGCTCTTCTGAGTGCCACAGGAGCTGGAGCCCTGGGGTGCTCTGTGCACTGGACCAGCCCTGGGCAGCAGGCACTTACCACAGATCACATCCGAGGAGTTCGTCCCTTTCACCTTCACCACCAGCCCCTTTTCCTCACAGCTGCAGGGAAGAACAAGACCATGTAACCACAGCAGTAATCTCAGCGCAGGGAATAGCTGGGGCTGGGCAGGCACCCGAGCTGCCCCAAAACACATCCTGCTCTGAGCCCACCAAGCTCCAGTAGGGCGAGCAGGGGGACCCCCACCAACACAGCTGAAGGGGACAGCAGGTACACAGCTGGGTACCAACCCTGGGGCTTGGCCTGGAGTTGCTGAAACTGCTGAGGATGGGAACAAGTTTTGGGACAAGGCACAGGAAGGAGCAGACCTGTCCAGTCAGGGAAGCCCCCAGGGCTTGAGCACTGTAGCTATGACAGAAAAGCTAAGATGGGCTACAAGTGGCTCTGTGGGGAAGTAATTTCTGGGCATAGATAAAAGCAAAGTGAAATCCAATGGCTGACAGCTGAAGCAAGACTAATTCAGCTTGGAAATAAGGCTCATGTTTCTACCAGGAACTGCAATTAACCCTCAAGCAGCTTTCTAAAGAGAGGGATGACCTGCCAGTTCATGGAATCCTCAAAGCCAAACTCCCTATGGAGAGGGCTTGTGCTTTGGCTGATGACTACAGCCACAGAGAGCACTGGGAGGGAGAACCTGAACAGGGCATGGGGCATCCCCATAGATCCTGATCCCTTACTTCCAGCATGGATGACAGCATGGACACCCCTGAAGGGACAAGCAGTCTGTGCACAGAGCAAGGGACAGACACAAGTCCCTGAATGTCTGCCTCAACCTCAGCCAATGCTGTCCTGGACCACACCATGCTCCTAGCCCTGTTCCTCTTGCTCTGGCCCTACACCAGCCAGATGCTGTGTCCCTCAGAGACCAGCCCAGTCCCCAAGGCCACCAAGAAAACTGGCAGCAGAGGATGTGCTCACTGGGGCTGGTGTGAGGACATGGTCTGTACCCAAACAATACCTTGTCCAGGGGTGGCACGGCTCGGTTTTAGACGAGACGTTGGAGAAGGTGCCTTCTGCACAGGGCTCACAGGGGGATGACATCCTGTCCACGGCCTTGGCTGGAGAGGAGCACAGATGGCAGAAAGGTCAGCAGGGCTATGGGGGGTGAGGGCTGAGGGGGCAAGGGGCTGCAGAGTCCAGATGTGCAGCACGCCCCGTGGCAATGGCACTGCTCTCCCAAAGCCCTGCCACACTGGGGGAGCCCCCATTCCCTGAGGTCAGCACTGGCAAGGCTTCAGTCCTGTTGAGTGGGAACAGCTTGTCAGATTTACCTGCCACAAAGCCAGAGCCAAGCTGGCAAGGCTGGTTCTCCACGCAAGTCTGGCAGCTGATGTCAGAGCAGTGCGTGCCAGCCCGGCACTGGCACACCGTGTTGTGTGTTGCATTTCCTTTCACCTTCTCAATGAGGCCAGCATCTGGGCAGAGGGAACATGGACGAGGTGAGACACCAAGCAGGGGAGCCAGTCCCCCCAGGCTGGGGTCAGTGGTCAAGGGAGCCAGTCCCCCCAGTCCCCCCAGGCTGGGGTCAGTGGTCACAGGGAGCACTTACTGCCTTCACAGATATCATGAGGAGCACAGTGCTTCTCCTTGGTCCAGCTTGGCTGATAGTGCCCGCTCTCACAGGGGGCACAGACAGAGTCTTCTGTTTTATTGCACTCAGAGACCAGCTTTTCCCCTGCAATAGAGGCTGGTGAGGAAGGGGCAAGGGGGCTTTCCCTCTCTGCAGAACAGCACCTCTGCCAGCAGGACAGGGGAAGGCTGGCAGCTGTGGATGCCAGGACTGCTGCACTATTCTGCATGGAAGCCAGGGCTGAAGGAGTCAGCTCGCCTGATGACCACAAACACTGCAGGGGCCAGGTGGGGAGGGAGGGCTGTGGGGCCACTCCAGGGACTGGGAGATGACCTGACAGTGACAGCAGGAGCTGGCAAACACCATCACAATTTGCTAGTGTGAGCACTCTCCCCACAAAGCTGCCTTTGCCATGGGGTCCTGTCGCTGCAAGACCACAAACAGAACCAAGAGAGCTGTGACACATTTGGTGAGGCCCAAGGGATCTCCAAGACCACCCACAAGGTCCCAGCTGCTCTATCACTGAGATGACACAGGGAGGTGAAGCTGTCAGCATTGCTGGCAGTGAGGTGGAGGGGCTCCATCACACCAAGCCAAGCTTGCCCCGCTGTGCCCAGGCAGTAGGTCCTGGCACAGCCCAGTTGTGAGATCCCTAGGAAAAGGTTTCCATACCTGGCCGACACCGGTTGCAGCATCGGCCCTTGTAGACATACTGCTTATCAAAGCATGTTAGGGCATCAGCAGGTTCCCAGCACTGGAAGAAACAAGACCTGTGAATTCATATCCAACGCTCCTGCACCGCTGTGCTTCCACAGACACATCTGCTAACCTGCACCCTGAGGTGAAGGCTTCCCCACGCTGCTCTTCCCACACCTCCACTAACCACAGACCACAGCAGCCACCCACGCTGCCTGATGCCATCTGTGCTGTCTTTGAAGTGGGGTGGCAGTGATTCCGGCAGCATTGCTCCACATTTCCCCACGTTTCCTACCAGAATGTGATTGCACATCACCCTGTGCCCCTGCCAACAGTACGGCAGTACCTCACAGGGGGAGCAGTGATCACCAAGCTTTCACGCCCAGAGCACTGCCAGCCCCTTCCCAAGGCTGACACGCCGTCCCTGAGGGACAGGAAAGCCCCAGCCAAGCGCATCACCCGTGCAAACTTTGCCAGAGCCTGCCCTTGCTCCTCCTGGCAGGGGACTACCTGCACAGGGAAGGGTAAAAAGAGGCAGGGAATGAGCTCTCGGGCAAGACAGCGGGCAAGAGGGCACCCGGAGCACCGTTCCTCTCGCATAGCCGGCCCCTCGCTGCCCATCCCTGTATCCCGGCAGATGCGCCTGGCCATCCTGCGGAGCGGGACGGGGGCTCCGGCAGAGAGCGAGGCAGAGAGGGCCGGGCCGAGGGTGCCATGGACGAGCACCCAGCACGGCCGGGCACAGCCCACCCCCGTGGGCATCTCGAGCAGCCCCGGCGCGGGACAGCGACGAGGCTGCGGGGCCGAACCAGCCGCACGCACGCAACCGAGAAGTTAAAGGAGCGCCGGCAGCCGGTTCCAGCGTCCCGCCCGACTGGGGGTCCCGACCGAGGGTCCCGGGGCTCGCCGCTGCCCGTCCCTGCCCGTGGGGACCCCCGGGCCAGCGCAGGGCGGGGCTGGGCTGCCGGGCCCGCGCCACCGGAGGAAAGCGAAAGCGCGTGGGTAGAAGTCCTGCAGAGGATACCAGGCAGTCCAGGCAGCTCCTCCGCCCCGCCTGGGCCCCGACAGAGCGGCCCCACGGACCCGAGGCGGCAGCGCCGCCGGGTCCCGCTCTCGCCATCGCGCACAGCCCCGGGGCTCCCCGGACGGGGGGGTTCGCCGAGGGGACGGGCCGGAGCGGCGGGAGCGTGCCCCTTCCCGGAAAGCCCGGCGGGACACCGAGAGGGAGGGATCCCCTCCGCCTCTGCCCCCGTCCCGCTCCTGTCCCGCTCCCGGCCCCACTCACGCCCAGCATCGCCGCGCAGAGCAGTCCCCAAAGCCCCAGCCGGTTCATGGCGCTGCGCCCCGGCCGCCGCCGCCGCCCTCCTAAGAGCGCTCGGTCCGTTCCCGCCCAGGAAGGGGCGTTGGGCCGCCCTGGCCGGGGCTTCCCCGCCGGGCCCGGCTGCGGACCGCTCCCCGCCGGCTGCCCCGAGCCCCGCGCTGCCCGGAACAGCAGTCTGACCCCGATCCCGGTCACTGTCACAACCTGATCCTGATCCCTGTCCCTGTCACTGCCTGATCCCGGTCCCTATCCCTGTCCCAGTCTGATCCCGGTCCCTGTCCCAGTCCGATCCCGATACCGGTCCCTGTCACTGTCTGACCCCAATCCTGGTCCCGGTCCCTGTCCCGATTCCGATCCCAGTCCGATCCCGGTCCCGGTCCCGGTCCCGGTCCCGGTCCCGGTCCCGGTCCCGGAGGCGCTGCCCGGTTACCGAGCGGGCGGCCCCGCGTGTGCCCAGGTGCGGGCGCCGGGACGGGCGGTGCCCCGAGGCCCTTTCGGCAGAGCGCGGCTCCGCTCCGGGAGAGCTCCGCGCTCCCCGGCCCCTCTGCCTTCCGTGCCCGCTGTCTCTGCTCTGCCCCCGAACTTCACGAGACTTGTGTCGCGTTTCGCTTGTGGCAAATGAGCTGCAATATCCCGCTCCAGCAGTCCTGCTTCCTTGAAGCTGTAGCGCTATTAATAAACAACTCTGGTTTTAAATATAAGATTTTTAGAGAGATGTGGCTTTAATTAATTTCCAGAGGGTTTGTTGGCTCGTGAGGTGCTGTGGGCTGTCCTGTGGTAGGACCCGCAGTTGCTGAGCGGGGAATTGTCCCCTTTAAACTCCCCCCGTGCCTCTCTGGCTGCATTCGTACAACAGGGCTTAATGTGGCAATTAGGTGTTCACCTGATGTAGAGTGCCCAGAGTGCCCAGAGGTGGGACAACATTCAATTATTCTGGTCTCATGATCGCTAAATGGCCCTCAACTATGTAATCTGCTGCGTGGTAAATGATAAGAGGCAGTGAATTATCTTAGATGAGAGCTCTGATTTACTGATTGTTTTGAAGTGGGAAAATGGTTCTGTTTTTCTTAACGTGGAAAGTTGTTGCAGCCTCTTCCTCAGACACCCCCTGCTATCCCCACCCCTGAGGAACACAAACAGCTTCCTTCTTACAGCTTTTGGTCCTGAAAGGGAGGTGTCCTGCCAGCAGCTCCAGGCCAGTTTGACACCTGTTTGCTCTGTGTGCCTGTGCCCTGCATCCTGCTTCGGATGGGAACTTGGCCTGGACAGTGCCTTCCATGTTTTATTGCCTCTTATTCATTTTGAGGGAATTTTGAAAGCTTCTCTGCCCTCAGCTAATGAGAACTTGAGCTGCGATAGTGGAATAGGAGTCCAGTGCTTTTGTGTAAAAAAAATTAAAAAAGGGATTTGGTACTTCTTGTGGGGAAGATAAAACTCTGTGTGTGTGTGGACGAACTTGCAGGGGGATTGGGGCAAATATGATAGAGGAGATTAATTTTGTTGGATTCTGTTTGTTGGATTTGGGTTTTGTTTTCCTCACCCTGGTTCTGGCAGTTAATTTTAAAAAGTTGATTAGACAGGGACGTGTTCTCTGCAGGGTTTTCTAAAAAGGGGCAAGAGTGATGCAAATGTGAAGCTGATTGATCTTTAAAGGATAGATAAATAAATACATTTTTTGTCTCAGATCTGGAGTAGATGTATTTTTCATGGCAGTTAAATGTTGCAAAAGTATTCATATAGTCTTATCTATGTTGACATTTGATTTATTTATTTAGAGATGACTTTGAAATTGTATTTTACTCCAGGGTACTGTTAGGGAGTATCTTGGTTGTAGGCATTGCATGATTAAAAAGAGAAGTTTCTGTTGATACATTCAATTTCATCATCTTTCTTTTTCCAAGCTTCTTGCATGTTACAAACAGAAAATCCCATCCTGCATTCCTGTAGGTGAATGTTTAGGAAGTAGGACAACTTTATTAAATAATTTTCAAACTTTTAAGTTCACCTTGAAAGCTTCAGTGTTATTAATTTCTTTAAGCTTTATCTAATGGTGAATTTTAAACCAGAAAGTCTGAAGCTTGGGGATGGTGTTTTTTGTTAGCTTGGCAGTGTTTGTTATGTTATTATTATTTTTTTTCATTGGGGTGTTTTTTTTTAATTTGTTTGGGTGAGTTTGTGCAGTGAATGTTGCTGACTGCTCCAGCTGTGTGCAGGGGTGTGGGCTAAGGGAATGTGCTTTTTCTGCATGGGGGAGCTGAGCAAGGGTGCAGCATTCACCTGGGGGGGGTTGAATTCCCAGCTCTGGACCCGCCTGCTGTGGGAGCTGACATCTCCATGGGGACAAAGCTGTGCTGTCTGACAGAGATGCAGATAAGGACCTGTGCTTTCTGGGACTGGAAAGCTGAGATTTCACGTGTAGTGCAGTGATCAGGTGTGGTCACTTAGGGGTATTACAGCACTATTTCCTTATGCCTCATTCCAAGCCCTGCTGGAATATTTGGGTGCTGTTATGCAATGTTACAATGAGTGTTTCCTTTCAGCTTATTAAAATATTGCATAAATTTCAATATTTCTTATCAGTGGATTGAAGAACTAGATGTGACAACAATGGGCATGGTGAAAAGCTTAAAGTTAAGGAGTTTTAGTGGAAAATTAGTTTTATTTGTATCTTAGCTTGGAGTCAAACTGCTAAAACCTATCTGCAAAATGATTAGGTTTGCTACCTTTCAGTATTACAGAAAAGCTCAGCCAGAATGCTGCAGTGAGTGATTTTGCCTGACCTCTGTGTCCCTCGTATTGAGATTTCTCTGGAGTGAAGTTTGCGTCAAGCAGACCCAGTTGGCTTCTAGTCTGCAAAGCTGTTAAGTTTAATCTTGTTCCAGTTTAATTTTGATGTCATGGATTGAAATGATATGCATGGCCGTTTGTTTTTTTTTTTGCGAAGAGTTGGATTTGGAACGAAAGCAAAATGGCTCGAGGACGCAAGAGCAATAGCATCAAACAGAGCGACTTCACTAACAGCACCAATCCTCAGGATTTAGAGAGAAGACTTTTTGTCGGCAATTTGCCCACAGACCACATGACTCGTGAAGAAATGGAAGAGATATTTTCAAAATATGGCAAAATCAGGGGTTAGTATATTATCTTATGCCTTTCTGTGGCAGGGATTTCAGGGAGAAATATTGCTTCATGCTTGTCAAATGCTATTTGATGATGATGACAGGAGTGACCAATGTTGTTCCTAAATAGTGACCTTTTAATGATAATTTTCTCTGCCTGCATTTTGTCAGGAAGAGCAATTCCTTCAGCACAGCTCAAACATAATGCAAATATATCAGCTATGTTTTAGCTTTTAGGGTCGCAGTGTGATGTCACAATACTCTTTCATAGCCTCTAAATCAAATCTTGGTCACTTCACAGGCTGAATTTTGGTCACTGCCTTGTCAGAAGGAACTTGATCAGAGTCTTTGAGCTGTGCACTTTGATCCTGGTGGATTTGATTTTCCCAGGAAGCTTGCACAGTGGTGTCTGGGTAGCGTGCAGCTGGTGGGGTTAGCGCTGGCCGGGTGTGGGTCACACTGTCCGTGGTTGTAACCGGTCTTGCCCTGCTGTTAACTCTTGCAGCCCTCAGCATGTACCATGGCTATGGGTTCGTGCAGTATGACCGTCTAGAAGATGTCCAGGCCGCTCTGGACGGTGAGAAGGGTCGCCTTTATAAAGGGTATAGATTAGGTAAGGAAAATGCTCCTCGCTCTCCTGACCCCAGCATGCGTTCGGGAGAAAGGGTGCTGTTGTTTTAAAGCCCTCCTCAAAGGTCACAGTGTGACACTTGGCTGGCCTTAGTCTCAATCAATTTAAACAGAATGTGTTTGGCTCCTGAGTTCCTGTTGTGTGCTTCACCTGCCGTGTGGCTCACCTTGCTGCCTGGGTCTTACCTTGAATTTTTATGTGTTAGTCTTTGGAAAGCTCTGTTAGCCTTAAGAAAAGAGAAGAAACTGTGCAGCAAGTGAGCCCTGGAAAGGGATCACTGAATGTCCAGCACAGGGTTTAATAACATTTGTAAACCAAAACTGGGCTTCATCTTGACGTGCTCAGAGGAATTGGTCACAGTGCTTAGTGGCTGGTTGGCTAAGTAAACTTAGCTGGGATTTTGCACAAGTGGAGCCAGCCTTTAAGCAGTGCTATAAATACTGGGTGCTTTAAAAAGGGTATTTTCATAAAGATGAAGATAATTCTGCTAAATGTGCTGGAAGCAGACTTAAATGGACATGAATGGTTAGAAATCCACGAGTAATCTTTTAAATGCAAGAAAAAAATTACTTTCAAAGTAAGCCTATGATAATTTGAAGAAAAACAGTGTGACTTAAAAAAGAATGACAGGAGGAATAAATAGTAACCTGTGGGAAGGTGTATGTGCAGTAACAAATAGGAGCCTGAAGATGGAAATGAAGGCAAATAGACAAGAAGGGTAGAAGGATACAAGAAGAAATGATGTCCAGCATTATCCAAGTGTAAAGGCTTAAATAGGAGCAGCTTTGGCTGGTTCAGAAGCTAAGGCTAAATGACTGGCAATGATAAAATTTCTAATGAGAAGACCAGTTAATGTTTCTGCTGTTTGTTTTTGAAGTGGCAGGAGATGTGTTTAATGTGATTTCCATTTCAGTAGCAAAACCAAAAAGGTAAAACTGCAGCTACCAAATCTAGAGCTCTCAAAAGAATTAACGTCAGTGAGGCTCAGTGAACTACTGACCTGCCTAGTCTGTTACTGGTGTTTTTCCACAAGCCTTGGAAAACCAGGAGTTCCCAGGGAGCTGGTAGAGTGCTGCAGGTGAGCCAGTAGGCAGGATAAATGGAATGAGCCTGGCATCAGAGCCTGGGAACAAAGGGATTCTTTCACCTGACACTGATGAGAAGGCAATTGATTAATGTCCATCAAAATAAATCCTGTCTTAGTTACTCTTATGGTACTGCAGGCTCTAGGGCTGGAAGCAGCAGTGTTAGTGTACAGATTGCTGGAAGGTGTTTGACTTGATAAGAAACGAGTGCAGTTAAAAACAGCAGAGTTAAATGGATTTCAAGTGAATCTAGAATGGAATAGGTGTAACGTGATGGAATTTCTCAGTGCTTTGAGTGGTGGTCTAGAAAAACTGAGTCCTGGCCATACAGGGCTTTTATAAGTGACTTGGAGAGAAAAACATGTTTTTAAAAAAGGATGAAATAAAGAAGATTGAGGCACTGATGGTGAAAGGACCTGGAGTTCCTATCCTGGATGCAGACAGACCTGATTTAAGTGAAGCTGACAGGGAAGGTCTGCACCCAGCCAGAGTGCTTTGGTTGTCCTTGGCTGTGCAAAGCACAGGCGTGCAAGTAGGGGGGTTTTGATACCTGTGGGATTTTGCTGCTGGAAGAGTTTTGGTATGCCTGGTTCAAAAAGGATAATGCTGAATTGGAAAAGCCTTGAAAAAACCTGACAGAGGTTTAGAATTCAAGAACAAACCCAAGCAAAAATCTCAAGAGAAAGGAGTGATGTGATCTCTGTGTTACAGACAACCTGGGGTTCAGGGAGTTTTAGTGTAGTAGGCATAAGTGTGACAGTGCCTTAAATGTGAATAAAGACTTTTCTCTAACAGCAGAGTAATTGGCTTCTGGAGTAATTTATTTGATCTGTGGTGGTTTCTGTGCTCTGAAGACTTCTAAATTGGAATTAGATGTTTTGCTAAAAGATAAGCACTAGTTCAGTGCCACTGCTGCACTTGTGATAGATGGATTCCAGAAACTCCTGTCACCTATGTTTGTTCAGAAGTTTACACTGTGTGATTACAGTGGCCCTGTCATCTCAAAATCCTACAGGACAGAAGACTTTTTATTTGGGCTTTTTTTCCCGAAGTTTTGTCAGTGTTCAAATACTTAATTTGTAAATGCTGTTGGCATTAAATAAAATGTTACTAAATGTGTTTGTTTTGCACAAGAGAAGGATCCCTGTCAAAGTTTTTTTTTTTCTTCTACTAAAATATTTTTGTGGAGATCTAAATACTTTTTTTATTTGAAAGAAATGTATGATACTGAGTGTAAAAATCATAATAGGTTTCTTCAATGGCATCTTAAAACAGAAAATAAAAATAATCTTAAACCAAAGAAAGCAGCTAGTGTCTTGCTTAAAGATAACACTTGACTTTAAGGGGCAAAATTATCAACTAAAAAATGAATGCAAGGAGAACAGTTACTTCAGTTACGCAGTCTGAGTATTGAATACAATCATTAATAACACAGTGAGCTAAAAAGTTCTGGGAGAGTTTAACTCCAGTGTAGATTATACAAAGTATTTCCACAAATGCACAGTAGTCTTTTCATATCTTTAGTAGTAAAACTGCTTAGAGAATAAATGTCCTTCAGATGTAGTTTGTAACAGTAGACCCTGCAGCTGTATTTGGTCCTGGGGAGGTGCTTTGGGGTCCTGTGAGTGGTGTAATGCTGCAGTTGTAGTTAATGTTCAGATTGCACTTGCTTCTCTGCCCCATCTGAGAGGCAACATGCTGCTTGATTGACATCAAGAACAAAAATTAGACCTGATCCCTTAATTACAGTTTTAATCTTGAAAATAATGAAGGATAGTTTGGGATGTTACAGAAGATATTAAGGCTGAGTCTGCCTAAAGACATCACGACATGTGTATATTCTCATGCAAGAGCTTTGAAAGTGGTTAATGCAAATAACTTATCAGAAATGTTAATTGTTGATGGATTCTGGGGGAGCACATAGGGCCCGGATTTGGGTTGTTTCCTTTAAAGGTTCTCAGTAAAATGTCCAAAGTCACATTGCTGTTTGCTCTTGCCCCCCTCCAGTGCATTATTTCATCTCCAGTCAGCTGTCACGGGAGGCTTTGAGAACAGTGTGGGTCCCTGCCAGTTCTGGGCAACTTCACTTTTGTGGGTTGAGGACGAGATTCTGTTTCTTCACAGCTCTCTTCCTTCTTTGTGTTTCCCTTCATGGTGTTTTTCACAGAGATCCTCAGAAGCCAACCAGTTTTCAAATTTCCGATCTGTTGCCTTAGTCTGCATCACGTTAACAATGGTGTTTTGAATGCACCATGTTGAATTCCTAAGGAGCCTGTGTTCCAGGCCCCTGGATCCTTTTCTCAGTGCTGGGGGCCGTGCACCTTAACACTGCAGCAGTCTCTTGGAAGGCAGTTGCACGTGCCCCTTTGAGAACCCTTGGATTATTCCCAACAAGGGTATCGGCATGCTCCGTTGAACAGGACTGGCTGTGAACTTAAGACTGTGCTGGCCATCATTCCTTTCTCGGAGGTTTTCAGACTCTGCTTTTTCTCCTAGAGTCCATGAGTCGCTTTCTGCTCGCTCATAGACTGCAGAAGAAAGAGGTTCTCTTATGGAAGGAAGAGTCTGGATGTAGGCCTGAACATGCAGGGTTAAAACTTCACCCAAGCTGTCCACCCTATTTTGAAGTCAAAGAAATCCATGAAATTTTCATTATGTTGTACTATCTAAACTTAATAAAAAATTGTCAAAGTGACAATGTCTCTCTGCTGAATGGATTTCCTTGCACCATCTGGATGTTGTTGAGCTTAAGTTGCTTTCATTTGAATTGTGCTGATGATCTTTTTTTTGTTTCATAGCATTGAACAGATGGGTTGATTATTCTTTACAGATATTAATAAAGCAGTGGAAAGAAGAAATATGAATAAGGCTTCATCAAGGTCCAGTCCCACACGAAGGTAAAGTACCTGGAAGCAGTGAGTTATACTAGGAGTTCAGGCCTTTGGGGCATGAGCCCATCGGCCTGTGCTAAATGTCTGTGTCTCTTCCCTACTGCCACCTCCCCAATCCAGCAGTGATGCTCCAGCAGGAAAGTGTCTGCTCCACCTCTGAGAGCCCTTTAGGCTTGGGCACCTTGGGAGGCACAAGGGAAACCTTGTGTCTGCTGCCATTACTGCGGCCCAGCATTCAGTTTTGCAGCACAGGCTGTAAGAGACTTGGGAGGAAGAATACACTTGATGTTTGCTCCTGCCTCCAAGGATCAGAAGCCAAGACATCTAGAGAATGCCAAGGGGCTGCAGTGCTCCTAGTGCAGAGGATCTTGCGATTTTGCCTCTTCTGATGTTGAAAGCTTCCAATGCTGCCATGAGAGCTGGAAAAGAGCACTTGAGCAAAACATGAGACAGAGCAAATGTCTCTTGCACGGTCCTGTCTGCCCGTGTGGTTGTGTTAGCAGAGCCTGGAGCCAGGCCCCCTGTGCAGTCACCATTGTATTCTCCAGCTTCTCCTGGCTTCCCACCCTGCAGTGGGCACAGCACCTTCACCTCTTTCACCTCCTCTGTGTAGGCAGCCACAGGCAAGGGGAAAACATATGGACTGGCCTGTCACAGGAAGATGACTTCAATTTCCTTTCCACACAAAGGAAGCACACAAAGACATGCTGCAGTGTTGTTTGGTACAAGGTATCCAGCCTGTGTGCCTCTGCTGTAAAGCCTTCCATGAAAAAGCATGGTGCTTGCTGGACTTGAAGGTAATTGAGGTGCCACGTGTAGTGTGCTTTACTAGCTTGAACTGTTAAATTACCAAAAATGAGGGAAAAGTGCAACTAGCAAGACATCTACACCATTTAAAAAAAAGGGGAAAAAAAGCAAAAAGCAAAAAAAAAAGGCAGAGAATGAGTAGCTGCAATTCTTGGCACCATCTAGGATTTTTATGCACTGCACTTAAGCCTACATAGGGCCAAATGTGCTTGCAGAGATCAGCATGTGGGCATCAGGCCCAAGAAGTGCTGGGGTTCCTGTGGCAGACGCAGCAAGTCTTTGGCCTGGAGTGTGCTTGGTGCTGGTGGGAGGACCCTGGGGGTATGTGAGCAGCAGGCACTGATGGCTCATCTTTGGCCTCAGTGCCACCCGTGCTGCAGCACTGCAGGGGTGCAGGTCAGCCGTCTGTACCATGAGCATTGATCCTTGGACTGCACTGCAGAGGGACAAGCACAGGCACTGATGCCATGGGCATTGCAAACTGTCATCCTGCATGTGTACAAGAGCAGGTGCCTGTGCTGCAGTCCTAAGGAGCACTGGACATGACTGAACAGCAGCCAAAGGCTTTGGTGCCACTGTGACACACTTGGATTTCAGCTGGCACTACACCATGGCCATCACATGTGGTTAGCACCAGGTCCCAAGCAGCACTGTGGGCACAGGTGGCAGTGGGGTCACAGTCATCAAGTCGTGGGCATGGCTGTGATCAGTGGACTCTGGAGCACGCTGTGGCCTGGGAACAGCAGCTGCCAGTGCTGCAGAGCCCCACGCTGCGCCGCACACAGCGGCGCTGCGCCAGCAGGGCCGAGTCCCAAGCAGATGCAGGCAGTGGTGCTGATGCTGCAGGAGCCAGGCCATGGTGATTGAGGTGTGGAAGCTGTGCCTTTGTGCTTCTGTCTCCCTCGAGCAGGGCAGCCATGTGGGCACAAGAGCTGAGGCTACCTGTGCCACATCTCTACTTCTGTCGCAGTTGTGCGTTCTTCATTCCGGATCTGTTTGTCTCTGCGGAAAATGAATGTGGCCTCTTCTGGTCACCTCCACTCCAGCTGGAATAAATGTCATATGCCAAACAATTCCCCTGCATCTGGTTGTTTTGCTAAATGGTCTCACAGCTATGGAAAGATCAGTTACTTCATATCCATTAGGGCAAGTCAGGAGTTTCCCCTGAGCTTCCGCCATCATTCATTGTAGGTTTTGCGGGAAGGGGGCTATTATGTATCTGTCACAGGATGGGATTTCAATACAGATCACAAACAAAAAGTGGATTTATACGTCCAAGAAGCTGAAGGACTTTACACCTGGCTGTTTGCAAATTCATTATGTCACTTAGAGGATGAGACTATATATGCTCTTGGTGGCATCTCTAATTTGTCCCAAAATCTGGTTTGTATCTGACATGCAAACAGAGAATGCCAGCACTCTTATGTGTTCCCAGCACAGCTGGGTGTCTGACACCAAAATCCATGCACAGACTGCTCTTCCATCTCATTCCTGTCACTCTGCCTGACACCAAACTCGGGCTCATCTGACTCGTTCTCTCCAGGTGATCTCTATGTGACTGCACTGCAGTGGATGCAGACTTAGGTTCTGCTTGTCTTTCATAAACTAGATTAGGCTGTTTGAGGACTGTAAAAGTCATGTCAAGTATGGGAAATAAAGATTCAAAAAGCTGGGGTTTTTTTCCTGATGGTTGTCACTATTGGGGAAAAAACAGTCCGAACACATGAAGCTCCAACGTTTCTCTGCAAGATTTTTTTTAAGGCTTTGTTTTGACTACAGTGAAGTTATAGTGTTCTCTGGAAAACAGAATGCAACCTGGAAAACATCCTATCGCTATGGGAAAAGATGAAGACTGGAGCATTATTCTTCCTTGCCTCTGAAGACTGCAATATAAAGTCTGAATGAGATAGATCATTCAGATCCAACAGAGAAGCCTTTTGTGGCCACTGAGGATGCTGGTTGGGTTTAGTACCCTTTTAACCAGGGCATTATAAGCATAAAGCTGGCTTTCTACAGAAACTGTCCCTCAAATCCAGGAGAAGGCCATAGCTGTCTTTGCCTTCTGTCAGCAACGCAAACACAGCCTCAGCATGGAGCCTGCACTGTCTTTCCTCACAAGCTGCTCCTTTTTTAATCATATGCCAATAACATTACTTCAGGTGTTCTGCTGTCATTCATGAGCGAATTTAATGGATCCCTTGAACACTCCTGGCTATTGCATATATGTGGGTATTGGCCTACATCACCTTGAATTGTCTCAAAGAATTTGCCAGACATGATTGATAGATCATCTATGGCTGATGCTGGAGGTCGGAGGCCTTAAAATGATGGTTTCTGAAGTGCCTGTTCACTTCACCTGCAGGTGCTCTACACTTAGTGCTCCATTAAGGAGCTTTCTGGGTCTTGTTTGGCTGTGCTGAACATTCTCCAGACTGCTTCAAAATACGACTTTTGGTCAATGTTTGTTGTTGTGGGGTAAGAGGGAGGATTCAGCTGCTATGAAAGGTGACTTTGGCACCTCAGGTAAGATATGTAAGGGTGACTGTACTCGTATTATTAGCAGGCTAATGGAATTTCCCTGGTGTTTTCCTCAGAGAGCAATATGCCTACGGGGATGGCCGAGATGCCAGGCGTGACCGCTCCCCTCTTCGGGGAAGCCCACGGAGAGACCCCCGAGATGGCAGGGATGGCAGGAACGGGCGAGATGCCAGAGACGCTCGAGACATTCGAGCTAGAGACATGCGTGATGCCAGAGACCACAGGGACCCACGGGACCTGCGAGACCCACGGGATATCAGGGATCCAAGGGACTTGAGGGACCCACGTGATGTTAGAGACCTTCGTGACCCACGGGAGCCACTGTATGATCGATACAGGGATCCACGGGATATGAGAAGTGCACGAGATGTGAGGGATCCACGGGATATGAGAGACCCTCGGGACCCTTTGTACAGGTAAACTCTCCAAGATCCTATTTGCCAAAGTAATGTTTTTATGGCATTTCTGACACAATTGTTTGAGTGGTGTCAGGCGTTTAAGGAAATCACCCTTGGCTGGAGACAGTTGGGTGCTGATCTGTGTCTTGTGAGGAGCAGATGGGTACCTCAGAAATTGAACGTGGGGGAGGTCTGGGTGTGATGCTTTGGCCAAAGTCGCTGCCTGAGATGGTGCTGCAGGAAACCATTGCTGCTTCTGAATGTTGCAGACGAGACGAGTCTTACGACCGTTACCTGCGCCTTGACGACTACTACCGGCGCAAGGACGACTCCTACTACGACCGCTACAAGGAGCCCGAGGGTGAGTACCTGCACCACTTCAGAGGAGGGGTGCCATGGTGCCACAGTGCCACAGTTGTGCTGCTCCGTGCCCCTCTGAGCAGGTGTGAAGGGTGTCACTCGTCCCTGTGCTCATTTCAGACCGCCTGAAGCGCGAGGAGCGGCGCCGCGAGGAGCTGTACCGTCAGTACTATGAGGAAATCAAGCGGCGTTTTGATGCAGAGAGACCCGTGGATTGTTCTGTGATAGTGGTGAATAAACAGACAAAGTAAGAAAGTAGTTATAATCAGTTTTATTATTGCATGGTAGAAGAGGATGGATTTAAACTTAGTCCTGCCTTGAGGCTGTTTGTCTTACAGGCTGCTCTTGAGGAGTGTGGCTTTAGAGTCCCCAGGAAGCTACAGCTCCAGTTTTTTTTCTGGGAATATATGCTGCTGAGATGAGGAAATGTATCTTGTGCTTTGCTTGTATTTCCCTCTTGTAATCTATTGCAGTACCTTCTCCTGATACTTTTATACCTACTCTCCATACAAGCCTACCATTTCAACAGGTTGTAGGGGCCTGTACTTGTTTTTCATGGGTAGCATGATATGGAACTTAGGAATATGTGCCAACCAGGTGACAGTACAGAGCAGGGGTCAGGGTGGATTGGGGGTGTTAGTCCAGAGCTCCTGCTGGATTGGTTCCTAGGGCAGACACCAGTCATTGCCATTATTCCAATGTGCAAGAAGCACAAAATCACTGCTGAAGGCAATCAGGGACGGTATCAAAAGCAGGTATAAGCAGTAACCAGGGTGATCTCCTGTGGCTGGCTGAGCACTTCCTGAGTTCACAGGGCAGACACTCTGTTGGGAACAGGAGGTACACCTGGCACAGTAGTAGAAGGCTTTAACAATGTCACCAGTCTCATGTCTGTATCTTTACAATTAAATATACTAAAGAATAGTAAATATGTAAATAAATCACAGACCTGGCTTGTAATATGAAGAAAAATGTTTGTCAGGGGAAAGTTAAAGCTCTGTTTCCTTATCCTTTCAGAGAAAAGATCAAGAGTTGCTTTTCTTTAACTTTGCTGTACATGTGGGGCAGAAAGAGACAGCTGGCACTTTGCCTTCTCTGCTGGTAGAAAATGCAGAGGAAATGGAAACAGGAGAAGCAGTGAAACTAGAAATAAACTTCTGATGGAGTTGATTACCTATTGGAACAAAACTTGAGAGGAAATTTTAGATCCTTTATCCCCTGGTGGCTAAAATTCTTTGGAAGATATTCTAAAAGACCACAAGTTATTGTGCTTGACTCAAGAATATTTTTTATGTGCCAGAGGATCAGCTTAGTATCCCAAGAATCATTTTGGTCTGTAATGGCTACAAACCTTAAGAGCTGGAGCTGTTCATAAATCTTGTATTGAAGCTGTACTGTATATATACATATATATATATATATATATATATATATATATAGTACTGATGTCACCTGCTATAGACCTGTTGAAAGATGACTCCTGAATGCCTTAGATACAGTCATTTGACTTCAAAGCTCTTAAAAAGATGGTTGAAGGGGAGACAGTTTTAATCACCATTACAGACTTCACCTCCAAAGACAATAAAATTACCCTCTTTCTTGAGGTGTGGGTGCACACAGAGTGAATTTGTCAGACTTTTTGTGCAGTCGGTATTGCAGGTTTGGTTCTAAGTAAAGTAAGCTTAAAAAAAAAACCCTGGCAATTCAAGCTCAGCCTTCTGAGCTGTGTTTTGTGCTTGAATGGGGAAGGCTGTAGGACAGGGTATACAGGAGCAGTGGATCCAGAGATGCTGTTTTGGTAGTGGGTTAGGGCAGAAAGCAACTAGTAGAAAAGAGAAGGCCAATAAGGAATGAGGCACATGTGAACAGTTGAGATACTGAACAAAGCAGGAATAAATGAGTTCAGTAGGTTGGCTTCTCTGCTCTGTATCCCTTGGAACTCTGCTGGTGGAAATTCCTTCCCCTAATGAATTCAGTTGAAACACATTTATGTGTAAACAAATTTGTAATAGTGTAAATCCCTTTGCAAACACTCTGTTTCTCAGCTCAGCTAAGGCTTGATTTGTAATTTATTTTGGTTGAACTGAAATGACTGATTCAGATCAGAATAAGGGCTTTTATATTGCTATAATGGGATTGCTTTAGTACTGTCCTGGTAAACGTCATGAAGCTGGGCAAGTAATCAGAAAAGCGAATCTGGGATGGTGGAGAGGGTGCAGTGCCAAGGTTTCTGTTCCTGTGTGTGACTGGTTTGTTAAATGCTGCCTTTGCTTTGTGGCAGGGAGTACGCAGAGTCCGTGGGGCGGAAGGTGCGGGACCTGGGCATGGTGGTGGACCTGATCTTCCTCAACACAGAGATGTCACTGACACAAGCTCTGGACGATGTGAGCAGGGGAGGGTCTCCTTTCGCCATTGTCATCACCCAGCAGCACCAAGTTCACCGTTCTTGCACTGTTAACATCATGTTTGGCACCCCACAAGGTACTGAGGTCTCAGCTGGCTGGGAGTTGTGTGGTCACTCTGAACCTTTCTTTCAGGCACAACCACATAGAGCAAAGTGCATTCTTGCTGTCACATAAGTAGTCATAAATTACTTGACACCATGTCATAAATGTGAATATCATTATTTAAAAGCTTCTGTAATACTGTGTTTGCCCCTTGTCAAAAGGAATGTCTAATTCCTGCCAAGAGGAAATCTCATCTGTGTTCTTGGCTCCTAACACTGCCAGCCTTTGCAGTGTTGGGGCAAGTCATGGACCCCAGAGCTGCACTGCTCTGGGAGATCTCTGAATAATACCAGCCCAACCTCACTCTACCACTTGTTGCTCTCAGAAAGAGCATGTTGGGAATGTGGCAAATTAAAGGACAGATTTTAAAATCAAATGTGATTTAATAAGGATTTGGTAATGGTAGAGGTTTGATAATGAAACTGGGAAGAGTTATAAAAAGATAAAACTACAAAGTGTTATGAAAAGATAGATCTACAAAGTGTTTGGGTATACAGGCTCCACCTTCTTAGCACCTTTACACTTGTCACATCGCTTTCCATCACAAGGTGTGACTTGGTTGTTGCATGAGGGTGGGTGTAGGTACTAAAAATGCCTTGTCAAAATGTGATTGGGGAAAGCAGGTGTTGCTCTGATCATAGCAACATGTAACATTCATGAAATCTGTCAACACAGGTGACTGGTTTGACCACAGCTGAGCTTTCAAAGGTTATTTCTCCCTTACTGTGTTCCCAAGTAATGTTCTGTGAGTTCATATGGGAGGGGAAACCTCTGAGTGCACAGTCAGAGCTTGGTGCATGCTCACTGACTGGAGAAGCCCAGTTTCCTTTAACATCAGATGCAGATGTGATAGGAGAGCTCCCTCATTTCCTGCAGACACACAGCTCACACACATTGTCACTGGGCTTCCCACTACCCTTGGTTTTAATTCTCAACTTCTTTGGTTTAACACCTGTTAAACCTTTGGCAGGAGGCCAAAGCTTCTTTTCTTCACTGGATCTGCTGGTGTATCAGAGATGGGAACCCCAGTCATTAGCTCATCCACAGCTCATTCCAGAGATTAGAAATGGTCCCTTCAACTGCTGCTGGCCACCTTTGCATGCATGTTTGTTTCAGGGAACTCTTTCACAGTTGTCGTTGTGCAAAGCCTAATGTTCAAATTAATCCAAGTTTTCTGTTAGGAGGAAAAGGCTTGCAGGATTTGATGTTCTGCAGGTGTTAAAAGGACCCTGCCCAAAGCTTTGGGCACTTTTGGGAAGGTAAAGGCTCTTTTGATCTCCCAGACTAACTCTGTGTTCAGGTGACTGTTTATGTGGGAGTTGGAAATAATGACCTCAAAACCCACCATTGAAATTGCCCATTACTCATTTTATTACAGAAGAATTTTGATGGCTGCTTGTTGCCTGAAGAGTGTTGAATGTGGGCAGCCATGTGACACTGAGCCAGTGCAGCTCCCTCCCCAGCTGCACGGGCACATGAGATGTTAAGGCACTGGCAGCACAGAAACAAACGTATTCCCATGGCTGTCCTCCTCTGGGAAGCATACAGCCTTCAGAGGGCAAATTTTGGATCTGTCCCAGGGTTTAGCAGTAAAATGACTGGGACCATCTCATCTCGGAGAACTGAGGATTTATGTGAGAGGTAGAGGGAGCTGCTTTCCTTTTAACTGGTGAGAGACAAGAAAGACATTTCTGGGCTGAGCCCTCAGCTGTGGAAGGAAAGGCTGGCCTTGCTGGCTGATAGCCATGGGCCTTCTGTTGGCTTTGAAAATGTAATTGTTCCCGTGTGCCTGGGAAGTTCCCAAGTGTGCACTCACACTCCCTGAGCAGTGCCTGCTGCTGACGGGGCTGTGCTGGCAGGCACAGGAACAGCACCTCCATCAGAGTCACTTTGGGTCACTCAGAGCTTTTCTTCCTTTTCCTCCTTGTTGCAGAGCACCGCAACATGCCCCAGGCTGATGCCATGGTGCTGGTGGCAAGGAATTACGAGCGCTACAAGACAGAGTCCCGGGAGAAGGAGCGGGAGGAGATCGCCCGGCAGGCTGCCAAGATGGCAGACGAAGCTATTCTGCAGGAGCGGGAGCGCCCACCCCCCATGGAGGAGGGTGTCAGAGGAGGTCACCCTCCCGGGATCCAAACTCTCTTGAACCTGCTGGCAGACAATCGCTATGTGACTGCTGAGGAGATAGATAAAGTCATTAATTACCTGAGAGACCGGAAGGAACGCTTGCTGCGGGGCAGCACTGACTCTCTGCAGGGTAAGTCCCACAGCCCCAGACAGACTTTACTGCGTGGTTTGTGGTCCTCAGGGCTGGGACAGGAAAAGAGTCCTGGGACTGCAGAGGAGTTTGGGAGCATAATATCCTCATATAGTACCTCATTTTACTGAGATGGATGTGTCGTTGCATGCCGTGAGACAATTCAGAGTATTCATGTGGAAGACCTTTTATGCTGGATTCTCTTAGGGCAACAGCAGGACTGCCATAACTGGTTGGGCTGCTATGCTCAGTTCTCTGGAGTGGTTTGGGTTCCCAGAGCTGTGCAGCTGTGATCTGAGGGTGGATGTTTACTGATGCTGTGTCTTTGATAGCTGTTTCATTAGTTTTCTTTAGGTGTCCCTTCAAAAGCATTTGCAGAGCTTTAACCACCTTTCCTTTCTTTCCCAGCACCCATATCAAGACAGCCTTTGGGGGCACCTTCAGGATCATCACTGGGTAGTCAGTCCAACCTTCCAAGTTCTCAGGCTCATCAGAGTTCACAGCCTCTGGTCTCTACTCCTTCTGTTCCAGTGACCTCTTCTACTCCTCAGCAGGAGCTTCAAGCAAAAATCCTCAGTCTCTTCAACAGCGGGGCGGCGGCAGCAGCAGCTGCTGTGGCAAACAGCGGTCCTGCAGCCTCTGCAGGCTCTGCAGGCAGCACTCCCAACCAGAACTTTGCTAACCTGGCCAGCGGGCAGCCCCGGCCAGCACAGATCAATGCTGGAAATATAAACCAGGCTCAGCAGAGATTGCAGACTCCAAACACGCAGCTTCCTACTCTGCCGGGCCCTTCGAGAAACGCAGGTCCGAGACCCGGAGCTCCTGCACAGCCTCAGCCGCTCTATGGTCAGCACCAAACCCGCCTCCCTGCGCCTGGCAATGTGCCTGCCCAAAGGCCGGTGTCTTCTGGTATCAACTTTGACAACCCCAGTGTACAGAAAGCCTTGGACACCCTTATCCAGAGTGGTCCTGCACTCTCCCACCTTGTGAGCCAAACCGTGGCCCAGGGGCGAGCGGGGTCCTCAGCCCAGCAACCGATGGGTGCCTACCAGCGACACTATTAGAGCTGAGCTGTTGGACCCATTCCCCTTCCCTTTGCCATTCCATACTTATAGCTGTTAAAGAATTCTCCCATCCTTGACCGGGGACAGATGCCCTGGACGTGCATGTCCTCTCCACTCTGGCGAGAGCATACCCCCTGCAGCATTGCTGCCAACGGTTGCTGGCGCTGCCCTCCCTCTCCTTGGTCTGGTTAGCAGTGTTTGGAGCAGAATGCTCAGTTTTCTCCAAGGCACGATGTGCTGAACTGTGTTGGATCATTGGTTGTCTTGTCCCATCCCAGAAGCTGCCGCAGCATCAGTCCTACTGCATTTTCCTTACTCCCAGCACCTGGTGCACCTTCCCATTGAGGTGCAGTCTGGGCTCACTGGTAGGTCTCGGTGTAGTTTTGGATCATCAGTTTTGATGAATTAGGGGACTGGACAGAGCAGCAAACTGACGAGCCTTGGACACCCACCAGTGTGGAATGGGCACTATTTTTCTTTGGATTTCTTTTTTTTTTTTTTTTTTAATAGCATATAAGCCATTTGGAAAGTCCAGTGATAGTGCTGGCAGCCAAAATCATGAAGCACATGCCTGACCACTGCTCAGTAACCAGGACTGTGCAGTCTGTCCACAGCTGGCCTGCCCTGTCCAGGCAGAGAGGCCGGTGTTCCTGACCACTCACAGAGACTGGCAGCTGTGGGCTGAGCACACATCTGCCACACAAGAACTTCCAGCCAAGGCAGAGATTTCAAACGGTCTGTCAATTTTCCTACAGTGAGTAATCAGTGTTAAGATCAACCTGGTAAATTTGATGTGTAAATTTCCTTTCCTTACAGTCTTTGGCATGTTGTTAGCTGCAGCCACACTGATGTGCTGCTGGCTCTCCCTGGGAATGCCTGTCACCAGGTATTGGGGACAGTGCTGCTCTATCAGACCTGTTGCTATTGATGGATGTTTGGTCCATCTGAGGAGGAGAGGCAGTGCCAAGATGTTAATACCATAATTTTAAATGTTTTTTCAACATTTTGGTAGCTGCAGCAGACAGTGGAGTGGTAAATCAGGCAGTGATTCCTCACTGTGTTTTTACTGGGAACATACTTTGATACCAGAACACAAAACATCACTTAGCTGTGTGGTCCTTCCCCATCATGGCCTTCTTGGAGTCTGTGGGCTTCCTGCAGGGAACTGTGAGATACTAAGAAAGCAGTGGATTGAAGCAGAGGATTTTCTTTGTCCCAGGTGGTTTGTGTTGTAGCATTTCTTTTATCTCTGTGCTGTTAAAAAAAAAGACATTACTTTCTAATAAAAAATCAGAAAAATTTCTTGTTTCATTTTTTGACACTTGAGTACTCTCAGAATACATCTTTTTCATGTGTTTGCTGTTACTCTCCTCTCACAGATAAGCTGTGTGGAGGCTTCACACTGGATGCTGAGCAGAATGTGTGTGGACCTCACAGATCCTGACTTGCACAGCACTGGGGTGGCCTCAGGCAGATGTGGTGTGGCACAGCCAATGTGAGGAGTCCAAAACCTCTCTGGTGACAGGTGGTGGGAGGGACAGGTCCGGGTCAGTGCCACAAGCCAGCGTGGGGTCAGGGCTGCCAGTCCCTGTGCCTTCAGCACTGCTGTCCCATGGCTTTGTGCTACATCACCCCACAGGCTGAGTCTGGACAGCAGTGTGTCTGTCTGCTGTCTCTCCTGTTAGGTCCCTTTCTCCACCTCTACAATCCTGCAGCCAGGTAGATCACTTTTGGTGGGGGACCTGAAATCTTTGTGAGGTGAAATGTGGGAACTGCATCCCTTTGGAGAGGCTGTTCTCTCCTTATGCTTTGCTTCCTCTGCAATCTGCACCCTGTCAGGACTTGCTCCATGTTATTGAAATGGTGCAAAATAAGCTGTGGAGACCTGGAAGCAAGTGAAAAGTTCCCGTGCAAGTAGTGAAGGGTGTAATAAAATCATTTATTGCATTTTGTGCAGACAGGAGTCTAGAAAAATGAATACAGGTAAAGCAGTAAAGCAGTAACAGGGAGCATTCAACAGCTGAGGAGCCACTCCTCCATGAACACCTGCACAGAGAACATGGGGTCTGCACCGAGGCGGCCTAATGCACAACACTGAAACACACACAGAAATTAAATGCAAGCCTATTGGGGTTGGTTTTTTTTTGGTTTGCAACCTGTTTTATTTACAAGGTTTTAAACTTAATTGCATTGCTCTGCACACAGATTCTCTAAAACACAAAGCATTCTAGGTCACTACATGTCTATTGAAATATTGCACTCGAATAAAAGTCACTTGAATGGACAGAGAACAACTAGCTACAGTGATTAAAAGAGTATTGAATGAACCGACTTTGTGATAACATTCATAACAAATATATTGCACATGTAGCACAGAAAGTGTTGTAACCAGCAGATCTCAGACCTTTCAGTCTTTCTGCTAGTTTTTAGTCCTGCTACACAGAGGAGGGTCTTGACTCTTCTAGTGCAACTCTTGCCCTTGTGCAGTCTCTTGTCCTCGTCCAGCCACGGACCAGCATCTGCCCAGGCTGGATGCTGCCTGTGCCTCCTGTCCCTGCTGCCCTGTGGCTTGCTGCCTTGTGTTGTGTGGTGGCCACAGCAACCTGAGCTGCCCTCCACAGTGACCTGAGCTGCCCACTGCCTCTCAGGGGCCAGGACTGCTTGGCCCTCTTGCAGCAGGGACTGGAGCACGTGCCACCAGTGCTGCGTGCTGGCCGGACACTCCTGCCAGCTGTGGCCACGCTCCAGCCCACCCTCCCGTGGGTTCTGCTGCTCAGTGCTGCTCCAGCAGCAGCCTGCCTGTAAAACAAACTGGGGGGTCAAGACCTTCCTGTCTGGAACAAAAACCGGACCGTGTCTGCGCATGTGCCAAGGAGGAACTTGCATGTGTACCAGAGGAGGACACTGTCTTCACCACGGTGGAGCGGCAGAAGGGTGCTCCATGGGGAAACTGAACACTCACAGAGGCCAAACGTGCAGGGCTGGGTTTGTAAACTAACATGCAGTGCTGTCTGCTAAAACTGGCCCTCTCCAGCCGACAGCGAGGGGACACGCTGTGGAAACCAGCTCCTGTCTTGCCACAGCCAAACTGCCTGGCAGGGGTGTGGGAGCAGCCCTGACTGTCCAGAGCTGTGCCCCTGCTCTTGCTGAAGGATGGGGAAGGAGAATGCCTTTTTTCAGCAGTAGTGATGGAAAGGAATGGCCCTCCTACTCCCTGGGGGAGCCGGGACCGTGGCTTTGCCGTCAGGGTGGAAGTGATGCTGAGGGGAATGGGATCCACTGGTGATGCTGGGGGGATGAAGCAAACCTGTCAGAAGTGTGCCCTGGCTGCTCTCACCACTGCTCTGCAAATTCCTGGCTGCCCTGTGCCTGCAGCCAATGGAGGAGCCTCTCACCTGGCGCTGTGAGGGTGCTCAACAGAGCTGTGCATAACCTGTCCCTGCCCTCTGCCCCGTGCCATGTGCCATGTGCCAGGGCAGGAGGGGACCGTGCTCGCTGCCTCAGGCCCAGCAGCACAGGGGGCAGCAGCCAAGCTGCAATTAGAGGGCAACTGCAGGGAGTGAGTGGCATCTTGTGAAGAGGCAGAGCAGCTGGCAAGTGCTCGAGGTCCAACAACATGGTGCTAACACATGAGCTGTGTGGGCAGGCTGCTGTGCCTCCCCCGTTGCTGCTGAAGTGCCTCAAATAATTTTGGGAGGCTGGAAACAGCCCACAAGCTTGTGTGTGGTGGTATAGGGCCAGCTCCAAGGGGTAGAGCAGCTAGACACTGGCAAATGCTGGTTCCCATGGGCTGCCCTTCCCAAAACAAAAGGAACTTCTCACTTGCAGACCCCTACCTGCTCTTCTCACAGCTCCTGAGCTGCCGAGACAGCAGCAGGACTGGAAAGTGCTACCCTGTGCATCTGCACCACTCATCAGCCCTGAGCTCCTGTGCTGAAGCCAGGTCTCAGCCCAGCCTGACAGTCCCCCTGTAAATGCTGAGCTCCCCATGCCTGTGGGAGCAGCTTCTACAGCACTGTCGGCCACACAGGCGCCGAGCTACCCTGGCAGAAAGTCTGGCTGTGACTGGGACTTGCTCCTGGAGAGAAGGGAGGCACTTCGGGAGTGATGGAAATGTAGGAGCAAGGTATGAGCAGGCACAGATGTGCAGCTGGGGCTTGGTTTTGGTCTAGGAGTGTGTCCAAGTAGTATCTTACAACAACAAAAAAAAATCCAACATCAAAAAACCCACTGCTTTTTATCCAAGCATCCCGAAATAGCTTTGGCCTGGACCTGGAGTAGAGGAGCTCTGAAAGGGAGCAGGGGCTGGAGCGGCCGGTGCAGGGGGGGTTTCCTGTTCTCAGGGAGGCAGGAGCCAAGGCTGGCAGGGGGTCGGGTGGGCAGGGAGCCGGGAGCAGTCAGGGCTGCCTGTGCCAGGCAGGAGGCAGCTGCTGCCTGGGTGGACACCCGCGGGGATGCTGCAGCAGCACCCGCTCCCCCTGCCCTGCTGAGTGCAGAGCAGCTCTGGGGAGCGTCTGGAGGGGCTGAGGGGGCGAGTGCTTCAGCACAGGGGCTCAGCTCTGGCCAGGGACAAAGTGCTGCCCAGGGCCCAGGCTGGCACAAAGCCGCCAGCGCTGCCGGGAGAGGGCAACTCTTAGCAGGCTGCACTTTGAGTGGAAGCTCAAATCTGCTGTGAAACAAGTTCAGAAAAGTCTGTGACTTCTTTTCCCTGAAAACTCTTAAGAAGCTAAATTGAGAAGAGAATAAACCTGCGACCTGGCCCTTTCCCAGGGGCTGCTGGTGGCCGGGGAAGGCTGCAGCCTCCACCACCACTCTGGAGCGCTCAGTGTGACGGATGGGCTCCCGGTTTGTGCAGGAGCAGCCCGGCTCAGCTCCCCGTCCCTGCGGCCTGGTGCTAGCAGAGCCCTGCATCTCTCAGAATAGATATAGATCTCTATATATAGACTTCATCTGGTTCTATTAACATAAATATGATCACTTTAAAAATACACGTACTGTATTATGTACACTATGTACATGGGGCTGGGGCGGGCGCCAGCGGCACCCTGCTGCCCTCGCACCGCTTCCTGCGTGGTTCCTGGAACCGTTCACATTTGTTAAAAGCGCCTCAGTTTCTCTTCTGTGAGAGATGCTGGGGAGGGGGACGGGGGGGGGACGGCGGCGGGGGCGACCCTGCAGCTGCTGCCAAAGACAAGAGGTGTTTGATGTGCCCCGGGGGCTCTGCGGCTGCGGCGGGGCTGGGGCCGGGGCTGCCCTGGCCAGCCGGGTGAGCGAGTGTCAGGATGCCGGGGGGACAGTGGGACCCCTACAGCCCCCCGCCTCACTGTGACGTCTTGCTGGTCAGATCAGCAAACAGCCTTTGCATATGTTAAAAATACACACAGATCCAGACTGTCCTACAGCCCCCGGCAGCATCTGCCACTGCCTGGGGCCGCGGCCAGGGCTGGGTTAGCAGCAAAGCCCTGGGGAGCAGCAGGGAGTGCAGCGGGGCACAGGGGGGACCCAGACACATGTGCGGGTGCTGGGGCCAGCCGGACGGGCTGGTGCTGGGCCCCGAGAGCCCTCAGTTTCGTGCGGCGGGGGAGCAGGGTGGGGGTCCGGGACACCCCTGTGCCAGGCCAGAGCAGGCACTGGAGCCTCGGGGGTCCCCGGGTCATGCTGCACACGGCAGGGCCCCTGCGTGCTCCGGACACAGCAGCTCCGCACCGCCACTCCTGCGCAAGCACCGGGGCAGCGACAGGGAAAAGAGAGCCTGGAGTCAGGCAGGGGGACAGAGAGCACCCCCAGCCACCCCAGCTCAGGGCTCCCGCTCTCACGGCCTCGCTGTGCTGCAGCGCCTGACCCCGCACAGCCGCCCCCCACCCTCCGCCTCCTCCAAACCATCGTGCTGCATCTCCACAAGCTCAGCCCGCGGTCTCCAGAAACGACGGTGCCGAGGCAGCGGCGAGGCAGGGCTGTCCGGGCCCGTGTCGGTGAGGGGCAGCGGGGGAGCAGAGCGATTGGAGGCAGCCCCGGGCGCTGCTGAGGCGGGGAAGGGCGCGTCGGGCCCGGGCAGCGCGGTGCGGCCTGGGCAGCGCGGTGCGGGCCTCTCTCTGCCCGCAGCCCCTCGCAGGCGGGCACGGGGCACGGGCGCGTCCAGCGAGTCTGTGCAGGAGTAGCAGCACGGTGGGGCCAAGGTCCGTCTCGGCACAGCCGCCCTCCTGCCCGGCAGGGGCTGCAGCGGCAGTGCTGGGGCTGGCGGCGGGGCTGGCCCTGCCAGGGAGGGCGGTGGCGGCAGCGCCGAGCTCTGGTGCTCAGTCCG